GATTCAGCCGCTGTTGAAACTGATCAGTTTCAGCAGCGGCTGAATCTGGATGCCAGTTCCGACTTACATACAGATTCAACTTAAGAACAATCCTACAGTCCCTATCTTGTATGTAACCCGGGGACTGCCTGTACATGAAAATACTGATTTTATGTTAATAAAATTGAATATATTATGTTAGGAAGATGTTTTTAAACAAATTGGTCTGTTAGGGTGAGACAGTGTAAGGGAGGATATACACTGAGTGATTAGGCAACAAAATGGGAAATTAAATTTAATGTGGATAAGTGTAAAGTAATGCACATCGGGGGAAAAAGCCCCAACTATACGTACAGTATGATGGGGGCTAATTTGGCTACAACAAATCAGGAAAGAGATCTTGGAGTTATTGTGGACAGTTCTCTGAAAACTTCTACGCAGTTTGCAGCGGCGGTCAAAAAGGCAAATACGATGCTAGGAATTATTAGGAAAGGGATAGAAAATAAGACCCAGAATATCTTACTGCCCCTGTAAAAAACTATGGTACGCCCACATCTTGAATACTGTGTACAGATGTGGTCTCCTCACCTCAAAAAAGATATTTTGGCCTTCAAAAGGATTCAGAAAAAGGCAACAAAAATGATTAGGGGTTTGGAACGGGTCCCATATGAGGAGAGGTTAAAGCAACTGGGACTTTTCAGTTTAGAAAAGAGGAGACTGAGGGGGGATATGATAGAGGTCTATAAAATCATGAGTGGTGTGGAGAGGGCCGATAAAGAAAAGTTATTTATTAGTTCCCTAATAGAAGAACTAGAGGACACCAAATGAAATTAATGGGTAGCAGGTTTAAAACTAATAAAAGAAAGTTCTTCACACAGCATATAGTCAACCTGTGGAACTCCTTGACAGAGGAGGCTGTGAAGGCTAGGACTATAACAGAGTTTAAAGAGAAGCTAGATAATTTCATGGAGGTTAGGTCCATAAAAGACTATTAGCCAGGGTATAAAATGGTGTCCTTGTCCTCTGTTTGTCAGAGGCTGGAGAGAGATGGCAGGAGACAAATCGCTTGATCATTGTCTTCGGTCCACCCTCTCTGGGGCACCTGGTGCTGGCCACTGTCAGCAGACAGGATACTGGGCTAGAAGGACCTTTGGTCTGACCCAGTACAGCCGTTCTTATGTTCTTATACATACGCATGTATGCATATGTCAGCGCTCACGTCCTAAAAAAGAAGTGCTGAAACTGCCCAAGCCCAGCTCCCCATTTAGGAAAGAGATTAAATTGATATTGTTCTAATGGTTACAATAAAATAAACTTTTAAATTCTTGTATCAATGCTATTTCAATGTAATACCCTTTTTCTATGACAGACTGTGCAAATTATTTATAATATACTGTAGTTATAATTTTGTGGTTACAATAAGTGATACATTTTCTTGTTTACAGGTGAAGAAACAGATTCTCTTAACTTGGCAGACTTCAAATACAAATTTAAGAGAAGTCTTCAGACAGCTCTGAAAAATGTAAGAAAACTACAGTAAATGAGTTGTATCTTTAATTTAAATTGTTGACTCTTATAAAGTGTTTTGGAAAGTAATTCTTGATCTGTTCCTGATTTTTAAACTTTGATTAATTCTGTTGATTGCTGGAGTCAAGGGATGGGGGATTGCATTTGAAATACCAAGAAGAAATTATATGTGCTTCCACAGTAGTAGTGTGTTCACCTTCAGACTTGCTTTTTTTCTGGTTGAGAGGGGAGTGAAAAATGGCAGAGTTCTGTCTTAAAATATAGTCAAAAGCTTCAGAAGGGTAGCCGAGTTAGTCTGGTACAGGAAAAACTTAAAAAACAACAAATAGCCTGGTAGTTTAAGACTGTTAAAGACTAACAAAACATGTAGGTAGTGTCATGAGCTTTCGTGGCCATAGCCACTTCTTCAGATGCAACACTCGGGTCATCTGAAGAAATGGGCTGTGCCCATAAAAGCTCATAACATGTACATGTTTTGTTAATCCTTAAAGTGCTACCAAATTTTGTTTGTTTGTTTTAATATAGTGTTACCCATTTTCAGGTTTCAGAGAAATCAAATTGTGTTTCTGGCTCTTTATACTGTCAGTATTAAATAACACTCTTATCTACTGGCTAATCATAATGGAAAACAAGTTTGAGCCTATACCTCAGAAAAAATATAAACTAGACAAACATAGCTGAATCGGGCTTCAAAAGCATTGCTCAGTACAAAAATGGAATTTTGTTCATATAGGCCAGAAGAGTGCAGTATTTCAGGACAAATACATTTGAGATTTTAAAGCTTGAGTATTCTTGTGACCTAAATAATTGACGTGGTTCAAATGTATCAATCAGTGTGCCAACTCAATTAACTAATATATGAATAAATGTGTCTGACAAAACAATCTGTGTAGAATTTGGAGTAACCATATAATTTTTTTTACCAATGAGCAGAAAATGGGATAAAAGTGGCTGGTGCATACAGAATTTTGAAGTTTGCAACAGTAATAAAATTGGAGTTAGAAATAGTAAGCTGTTCTTTCACCTGGTCTCTAGATTATGCTTCTGTTTGTTGTATCAAGTGGGAATATTTTCTGTGGTTTTGGAGTTTTGCCCCAGATATTGTCTTATATTTTGGTGAAATATTATATTGTTTAGTACAGCGATTCCCAAAGTAGGTCACAATCCAGTTTTAATGAGGTTGACTTACTAGTACTCACTTAGACTTCCTGGTGCCAGAACTCCACTGCCCAGGGTCAAAACTGAAGCCAAACCCAACTGTCCAGTCCCCCGCTACTCCTCTGACTCCCCTGGGCCCTTGCAGATATGGTGCTGGGTGGGGGAACTGGCTTTTAAGCCAGCTTCTCCCAGCTCCTGCTTTCTTCCCTCCCCTCCTTTCCCCCCCCCCCCCCTGCTGCCTCTCTCTGATAGAGGCAACAAGGATCTGGGGGGAGCGCCTAGTTGAATCGACTGTCCGATAAGCATATGCTGATCAGATGGTCGACTAGTTGCTTACATCCCTAGTATGTGACCCAAGGGAACTACTCAAGGCTATCAACAGTGAATCTATATGAGAAATTGTTTATTAATAGAATATATATTCCTCTTCATCATTCTATTAAACATTGTCACTATTGAAAAGGGTTACTGCTTCTTTAATAGACCCAAAGTATTGTGAGCAGCTGTATTCTTTCTTGCTATAACTGCTGAACAGTTTGCCTGCATTGCAAAGGAGGGAGGGGAAAAATGGCTACAACTGACCAATTGCCTCCTCTCCATTCTTCCCCCATTGGAAGCAGTATAGGAGCTTGACTGGTTTTGCCTGAACTTACAGAGCACCTAGGGAAGGATGGCTTCCCTTTCCCCATACAGCCACTCAGCGTAACTTGGTATGGGTGGGTGAAGCTGAAAACTAATAACCAGTTGAACAGCAACCTGAGTGATACAAAGTATATAGAACAGGGTAGAAAAATTACCCCAAAGCATTGACCGTGGACAAAATCCTCAAATGAAAGGATACTTTCTAAATACTACAAGCCAAATTCTATCTGGGGAAATTAAGTGCAACTCTGTGGAAATTAATGGGATACATTTCTCTTTCATCAGCAGTGGCATACTGCATATTCATGTGTAGTAGCTGAAGCTAATGCATAGACATGGGAACACTTAATCCACACAGTCTTAATTTTGGTGTCTCTCTAATTTAAGTGCCTAATGAAATTGTAGCTTTTCATTATTTTTTTTTCTCATCAGGTGACTATCAACTTCAGAGAATATGAGGATAATGCACTATGGATTCGAATTGCTTGGGGAACACAATATACAAAACCAAACCAGTACAAAGCCACCTATATTGTGTATCACTTGCAAACTCCCTATGTCTTCATTTCCAGTCTTAGGAGCAACTTACCTTTGCTTTGTCAGGTAAAGAACAAATTTTATTGTTACAGATCTCCATTATGTTCCATTTATCAAAAGAGGGCTGTTGAAAGTGTGAGGAAATATAGCACCAGTAAATCTGAAATGTAGTATAATCATTAGATTAGATCCCAAAATGGAGTTCACAGAGCCACAAGCACATACAAAACTTTTGACAGATCAAAGTCAATGTTGATAAATGCAAAGTAATGTTGTATTTATTGGGAAAACATAATCCCAACTATATATATAAAATGAAGTCTAAATTAGCTGTTACCATTCGAGAAAGAGATCTTGGAATCATTGTGGATAGATCTCAGTGTGAAGCAGCAGTCAAAGTGAACAGTGTTGGGAATCATTAAGAAAGGAATAGATAATAGGATAAATATCATATTGCCTTTATATAAATCCATGGTACAGTAAAACTCCATTAGTCTGGCATCCAATGCTCCGGGACTCCTGATGGTCCGGCACCATCAGAAACCCAGAAGTGCTGGGGCAGCCGGACAGGCTTCCCCCATTCAGCTGCTGCTGAAACTGACCAGCAGCTGAATCAGGGAAGCCGGAAGCAGAGCAGCTTGGGTGCTGCCGGGGTGGGCTCGTAGTGCTGCCCCTTGGGGCTGCGGGACCAACCCAGCAGCACCCCAGCTGCTCTTGGGAATTTAATTGGGGGCTGAAATGGATCAGAAACTCATTTTCATAATGACACCTAATATACATTAGGAAATTATGCTTATTGAGATTGAAATTTACCTGACATCAAGCACATAAAAAGAAATATAAATTCACAGCCTGTGTAATCACAACGTAGTTTTCAAAGGAGATGAGAGGCTGACAGGCCAAATTCTTTTTTCATCTAACTTGAAAAGTCCACTGATTTCAATGCAATTGCACTGACTTACCCTCCGGCAGGATGTGGTACAAATATTATAGATTAATTATAAATGGGGATTGATTATTTTGAGGCCAATAATAATCTTTGTAATTACATGTGCCAAAAAGATTAGCATATCTGTGGGGGGGAAGCTGATCATGACAAGGGCCAAATTCTCCCTGTGTATGTCACAATAGGCTAGGCAGATGATGGAAAGGTTTGCTTCTAATACATCTGATGGTCACTGATGGAGGCATGTATCATACATCATGACCCAAATAGTGGCCCCGGGGGCCCCCAAGCCAGCCGCTGCTGAAACAGATCAGCGGCTGATTCCAGGAAGTCCCGGGCAGAGCAGCTCTGTCCCAGGCGTCCCCAAGAGCAGCTGGAGTGCTGCTGGGTTGGTGCCGCAGCGCTGCCCCTTGCCGCTGTGGACCAACCCAGCAGCACCCCAGCTGCTCTATTGCAGGCATCCCTGATTGAGCTGCTGCTGAAACTGACCAGCAGCGGCTGAATCAGGGACGCCTGCGGCAGAGCCGGACTATCGTAAGGGGGGGGCATCCCCTCCCACCCCACTCCAGACCTCTCATAGCCCCCCCTTCTGATAGTCCGGCATATCTGATAGTCCGGCACCCCCTGGGTCCTAAAGGTGCCGGATTATCGGAAGTTTACTGTATATCCACACTTTTTTAATATTGCATGCAGCTGTAGTTGCCCCATCTCAAAAAAGATAAACTGGAAGTGGAAAAGGGCAAAATACATGATTAGGAGTATGGAACAGCATCCATATGAGGTGAGATTAATAAGCCTGACTTTTCAGTTTGGAAGAGAGATGACTAAGGAGGGATATAATATGATAAAGGTCTATAAAATCATGACTGGATATCACCAAGTGAAATTAATAGGCAGCAGATGTAAAACAAAAGGAAGTATTTCTTACTGTGCAGAGAATCCACCTTATCCCTAAGGATGCACAAAATAATGCAGAGCTTAGACTTATGTGGTGGGTTTTTTTTCTTGTTTTGTGTGTGTGGTAGTTGGAATCCTCTCTCCCTCAACTGTATATTCACTGTACCACTGCCAGGAACTTATGGCTTTATAACTGTCTGTTTAACTTGACATTTTTCACATATGAGAATCCTGTTGGATGACAGAGTGACTGAAGCTACACCTTAATAGTGGAATACAAATATCGCATTAGCCAAGAATGTATTGCATTTTATTATTAATGAAATTGTGACATAGGGCATGATGATAAAAATAATTTCAATTTGTATTTTAAAGGCACTGGTTCATGCGTCCAATTACCATGACATCCATGAAATGGAGCTCCGAAGCCGTTGTTTAGACTCCCTTAAAGATATTGTGTTTAAAAGGTATAGCCAGGTGAGCAACTTTTTAAAGTTTATTCTAAGCCAAGTCTTATTTTTTGTTTCAGAGCTGGCTCTAAACTAGCAGGTGGGGAAAAACTATTCCAGGAGTTGAGGTGGACAGCCTTTCAGTAAGGTAACATAATCCATGAAATGGAGCTCCGAAGCCGTTGTTTAGACTCCCTTAAAGATATTGTGTTTAAAAGGTATAGCCAGGTGAGCAACTTTTTAAAGTTTATTCTAAGCCAAGTCTTATTTTTTGTTTCAGAGCTGGCTCTAAACTAGCAGGTGGGGAAAAACTATTCCAGGAGTTGAGGTGGACAGCCTTTCAGTAAGGTAACATAAAATGGA